TGTGTATAGCAAACATGACAAAACATACATACAGCATAATCACTACCTTACCCTTCCCGAACCACATAAACAAACGAACTACGGGCTGCGCACCCATGCCCTCACGGTAAGTCAATATTTTCAACAGTTCATGGGTGTACCGACTGAGTTAGGCTCTTGGGTGGTATCCACCTGCTTCTCGAAACAGACAGGATGGTTTGCTGTGTGGTGGTTTCTCACAGCCTACGGGCTGCAAATCACACCGAGCCAAATTCTTTCGCAAATTGGCTGGATGCCAACCCCGCTTGGCAGTGGCCCCTCTGCCGAGTCCCGCTCCCTTGAGTGCATACCATACCATACACGCATGGCCCAGCGCCCGCTATTGATTTTTTGAACTGTGCTTAGCAAAAGCGGATCGACGGTGGCTGTGGAGCTTGGGCAGAGTGGCGGATCTATTGTGGACGCCCAGCGTCTTCAGCCCAGCCAGTTTAGTCACAAGAGATTTGGCCCCTTTGTTCCCAGGCTTTGTACATTCAGCGGAAGGGAAAGGAGTGGAGCATGGAGGTATGAACCCCGGTTGGCTGGTGGGCCGAGGGTTAGTTCATTCGTTGACGTGAATGGCGCGCTAATTGCGCGCTAACGCGAGGATTATCTATCCGCATACCGGTCAGAGCGTGTCGCACACTCCAGAGGCGGCGCATGTTGTTCCTCACGGCGCCGCGCAGCCGAGGCCATCCAAACTGTGCGGCGCGGGAATAAGCCCAGAGTAGGGTCACAGGCAAAAAGAAACAACTCCCGCAACCCGAAGGATCCGCTGAGGCGGCGTGGGTGAGGGCGGGGCAGGGCGGGGCAAGGGCGGGCAAGGGCGGGGAAGGTCGGGTGGTGTGGTTCGAGGGCGGGCTACGGTAGGCGAGGCTTGGTGCGGAAGATGGTCTCGCGCGCGGTCGCGCTTGCGCAGTTCAGTCAGGAGCTCTGCACACAACGGCAGCTCCCTCTTCTCGTAATATCCTCGCTGAAACTGAAATAGTCAGCAGGGTCGGCAGCACTTGTTACCCATTTGTGGAATAGTTTTGTTTTGGTTCTTGCTACTCTCCTGTTTCGGTACAAAGCAGGCGATGGGGTCGCAAGGGGGTAGAACCCCCTCGCAACTGAAGGTCGCAGAACTGCGCGAGGAGCTCAAGAGGCGTGGCATATCTGCCACAGGTCTAAAGAAGAAGGATCTTGTAGACAGATTAGTGGACGCGTTGCAGAGGGAGGAGCAACAGCAGGAGCAGGAGCAGGCTCGGGCTCAGGCTCAGGCTCAGGCTCAGGCTCAGGCTGGCTGTGGCGGGGTGTCGGCAATACCGACAATCATCGATGGTTGCAGAGACGGAGCTTCTTCATCGCCTCCTGCGCCTGGTGGAGACGATGTAGGAGTAGACGTCACTGCTTTTGCAGCCTCTCCTTTGAACTCGTTGCTTGGAGCACAAGTAGTTGACACACCGATTATTGCATCTGGCCACGTGGTGGATTCTGTCCACACCTTCTTCCCCCCTAGCTGTGGTGATGACCTGAAACTACCGTCCCTGCTCCCTGGAGGAGCGGCATCAGCAACTCCATCACTCTGTGGTGATTACCAACCGTCCCCTGCTGCCATCGCAGAGGAGCCGTCTCTCGCGCCCGCCGCCGTGAACGGCACTGCGGCTGCGCCTCTGTCGCCGCCACGTGAGGTTCATCCGCTCTTCCCGGGCAAGCAGGACAGCAATGCTGCTCTCGCAGAACCCCTGCCGAACGAGCCTTGCCCTACTACAGTGTTCCAATATCAAGGTCCTGTGCATTCCCAACCTCCCTCATCGGGGGAAGAGGCAGAGATCCGGGCGGAGGTGAAGGTGGTGCCTCCTGCTGCTGCTGCTGCGGGAGCAGCCTCGACACGTTCACAAAACTGTGAACAGCAGCATAGACCATTGGCTCCCTCTCCTCCAGCTCAACCTTTATCTCCTGTAATCGAAGTTAAACAGGTTGCCCCAGTAGAGACCCCGCCTGTCGTCGTTGCCATCGACGGTGCTGAAGCAGATGATGGTTTGATAATATTGGATCAGAACGCAGAGGCGCAGGAGGCGACGGGCGGCTCTGTAGAGGTGAAAATTGCGGTGGACCAGGAAGTCCCGCCGGTCCTTGCTGAAACCCTTGGCTCGAACGGGGCTGCTGGTTTTGGAACGGGCCTTGGCGGGAAGTCAGCAGCAGCAGGTGATTTTAATTTCACACCGTCGCAGTCCGTAGCTGCTGCTGCAGGACTTCACGAGGGTATCTTGATAGAGACGTCGTCAGCAGTTGTTGCTGCTGCTGCTGGTGAAGTGGGCGTTGCCTTGATTTTGAATCATCGCATCGAGCCGCCGACGTGTAGTAGTTACTTCAGTAAAGGGGCGGAAAGGGTGGGGGTGAAGAAAGGGGACACCCCGGGCTGGGACCGGGATTCAGACCTTGAAAGGCTTGGAGGAGAGCAATCTACAGCGGATCTTGTCGTGAAGGAGGATATAGCGAGGGGCAGTGACGACGCGGTCAGCGAGAAGGAAGGTAGTGGAGGTGACACAGTTATTGAGGAAGCTGGATTGATCTCACAAGAGAAAGCTCTTTCGGTTTGCCTGAATAGTGAGACGGTTTGGGACGTTCCGGTGGAGAAGGTGAGCGCGGCGGTGGAAGAGGAAATGGGTCGGTCCAAGAGAGAGGGTGGGGAGTCTAGACGGAGCGGAAAGCGGGGGGAGGAGGATGGGGAAGGGAGGGCAAGCGAAAGTGAGCGGGAGCGCAAGAAGGGCAGACAGGATGAGAACCGCAGCCGGGGACGAGAGGAATGGCGGGGCGAAGAGCAGCGAGGGGCTTCCAGAGAAGAGGCGCATCGACCGGAGGAACAAGCGGAAGGCAAGGCAAACGAAAGTGATCGGGAGCGCAAGAAGGGTAGGCATGACGATAACCGCAGCCGGGGGAGAGAGGAATGGCGGGGCGAAGAGCAGAGAGGGGCTTCCAGAGAAGAGACACATCGCGCGGAGGAGCAGCTTGAAGGCAAAGCGGGGGAAAGTGATCGAGAGCGCAAGAAGGGTAGGCAGGATGAAAACCGAAGTCGGGGAAGAGAGGAATGGCGGGGAGAAGAGCAACGAGGAGCCAGAGAAGAGACACATAGGTCGGAGGAGCAGCTTCAGTCAAGAGGGAGGGAGGATCGACGTTTTGAGGAGCAGCGCGGCAGGGAGGATCATAGAGGACGAGATGATCATAATACTAGTAGAGGGAGAGAGGAGCATCGCGGAAGTAGGGATGAGCGGAGGTCCGAAGAGCGCCGCGGTAGGGATGAGCATCGCGGCGGCAGAGAGGAGAAGCGATCAGAAGACAGAAGAGGGGGAGACGATCATCGTGGAAGAGGAGAGGATCCTGTAGAGCGCAGGGGTGAGGAGCAAGTGGGATGGTTGAAGGAGCAGCAACAGCAGCAGCGTGGAAAGGAAGAGCAGCAGAGGCTCAAGGACGAGCAGCAGCGGGGGAAAGACGAACAGCAGCGGGGAAAGGAAGAACAGCGAAGTAGGGACGGTCATAAGCGGGGAAAGGAGGAACAACGAGCGAGAGAGGACGATCAGCGTGCGAGAGAGGAGGAACATCGTGCGAGGGAGGAAGAACGGGCGAGAGAGGAGAAGGAGCATCGTGCGAAGGAGGAAGAGCGGGCGAGAGAGGAGAAGGAGCAGGAAACACAGCAGCAACAAAAGCGCGGAAAAGAGGAGCAGCGTAGCAGGGAAGAGCGGAGAGTAGAAGATCAGCGTGTCAGCAAGGAAGAGAGACGGATCGAAGAACACCGCGCGAGGGAGGAACGCCGAGGGGAAGAGCAGCATCGCATCAGGGAAGACCAGCGGCGACAAGATGATTATCGAATCAAGGAGAAGGAGGAGAGGCGGCAGGACGACAACCGTAGTAACAAGGAAGAGCGTCGGCAGGACCACCGAGGCAGCAGCAAAGAGGACTGGCGGTCGGAAGGGGGAGAGCATCGTGGTAGGGAGGACCGTCGGATTTCGGACGATCACGGCAGTAACAAGGAAGAGCGAAGGGTTCCTGAGGATCACCGCGGCGGGAAGGACGAAAGGCGGTCCGACGAACATCGGGGAGGCGGGTCCAATAAGGACAAGGAAGAACGGCGGGCGGAGGAAACCCGTGGAGGAGGCAAGGAGGAGCAGATTTACCGGGGAAGGGAGGAACGACGACCTGACGACCGTGGTGGAAACAAGGAGGAGCGGAGAACGCATGATGAGGAACACCCGCGTGGTGCTGGGAAGGAAGAACGCCGTCTTGGTGACGGTAATCATGCGGCGGCGGGGAGCGACGAGGAGGAGGGGTCCACGGAGCGTCAGCACCGTTCGAAGGAGCGGAGATCAGAGGAACATCGTGTGGAAGAGAGCATAGGCGTAGGTAAACTGAGTGGCGGGCAGGATGATCAGCAGCAGGGGGCAATGAAGAAAAAGGAGGAGGAGGAGAGGTCATCATCGGACGAAGAAGGGCAGCGTCGGAGCAGAGAAGAACGCCGTGACGTGGAAGAACGGAAGGAAGAAGAGCGAACTGGGCAGTCGGGAAAGGACGAGGATATGACCGAGAGAACCTCTGGCGGGTCGGAGCTTGGGGAAATGCCTCCGCCGCCGCCGTCTGCTGCGCACACGCAGGTCGCTAGACTAGAACGCGAAGGGAAGGAGAAGGAGAAGGAGAAGGAGAAGGATAGGAAGAGAGACAAAGACCGAGAAAATGGTGATGTGAAGGGGGATGAGCCAGAAGCCATGGTGGTCGATAAGAAGCCTCGGCTGCAGACTGAACCGCTGACGACGCCGGTGTCGGTGACGGCCGCCGTGCCGGACAACACCTCGACGGCGGCGGCTATGGAAGAGGATCAAGTTTCTCCGGGAGGAGGAGGAGGAGGAGGAGAGAACCTCCCTCCACCACCCCCTCTCCCAAAGGATGCCAAAGCGCAGCAGCAGCAGCCGGCGGCGGCGGTGGAGCATGAGCAGAATGCAGACGGGGCGCAGCCGGCGGCAGCGCCGCCAGCTGCGAAGGCAGCACCGTCGACCAAGAGGAAGGAGGAGGACAGGGTGGGGGACTCGAAAGCTCCTCCTGTGGGAGGAGGGAGCAGTACAGGCTCGGAAAAGGATCAGTCTACAGGGGCTGCTGTGAAGCGACTGCGCAGATGGAACGGCGGGTGGGCAAATGAAAGTACTAGCGGTGCGACGGCGGCGGCGGGGGCGGGCGCAACGGAGGCCAAACCTAATTCGACGGCCGATGGCTCTGCCAAGGACACACTACAGGGTGCAAACTCTGTCCAAGGTGGGGCTTCAGCTGTTCCTGGCGCAGTTCTTGGGGCAGACAAGGGCAGGGGGAGCGGCGCGGGAAGACAGGGCGGGGAAGGCATTGCAAGCCGTGGGCTAGGGCAAGGCGGGACCCGTGCGGCGGGGAAGGACGGCGGAGCGGGCAGATCGTTAGACAGTCCCAAGGACGAAGAGAAAGAAAAGCGAGTGGTGCCTCCTTCGACGAAGCCGAAGACGAACTCCTTGCGCATCGACAATTTTCTGCGGCCTTTTACAACGAAGCAGCTTCGAGAGTTGCTCGACCAAACGGGGAAAGTAGAGCAGTTCTGGATCGATGCCATCAAGACCCACTGCTACGTGACCTACAGCAACGAGGAGGAGGCTACCAACACTCGCAGCGCGCTTTATAACCTGAGATGGCCGCCACAGGGAGGCAGATTATTGGCATTGGACTACTGCAGTCCTCAAGACGTCCTCAGGATGGTAGAAGGCGTGGCGCCGAAGGACATGGGAAAGCTGCAGCCAGATCGGATGCCGCCCATTGTCACACCGCTGCCGCCGCCTCCTCCTTTGCCAGCGAGGGGAGGAGAGGAGCTTTCGAGGAGACCACATTTGCAGCAACAGCAACAACAGCAACCCACACCTGCAAGAGGACCGCCGCCGCCGCCAGAGCCAGCTCTCCCGACGCTTGATGACCTATTCAGGAAGACGAGAGCGAAGCCGCACATCTACTACCTGCCGCTCACGGACGAGCAAGTGGCCACCAAGCTGGCGAGGCAGAAGGCTGCTGTAATGGCAGGTGCAGGGACGGCAGCGGCCCCATCGCTGCGCACGTCTACGACTTGATGCCGGGGCGGGAAAGCACCGCGCGATTATTGTCTTCAGACTGGAGGTATGTCCTTTGATCATCACATTCAGAAGCGGTTCACTGCCCTCTGCAGTTTCCTCCTCCATGACCTTCAGCCGCCCAGTTCTTCTCCTCCTTTCTCCTCCTTCTCCTCCTTCTCCTCCTCCTTCTCTCCCTTCTCCTCCCTTCCTCCTTGGCCTCGTGGTCACGCCTTCTTGGCCATGTTTCTTTGGCCCCTTTCGTGCGTCGCACAGCCTTTTTGACTCGTTGGTTGGTCATTCAGACCGTGCTTTTCTGTTAAGCCATAGTTGCGCTCGCACCAGGGGTTAGAGAGGGTTGGCATTCGCAGCAGCCGTGCGTGATATTTTTTTGCCAAGGCATGGCTTTTCTTGTCTGCCTGCGTCACATCTCTGACGCCATATCGCAGCGGATTCAGGGCCTCGTTCCTTTGGCTGCTTCCCCACGTGGATGAAGAACCACTGCCTTCACATTAGTAGAGAACTTTTCCGAGATGCTGTGCGAACGTCTCAAAAATGGTGTGCATTCACGTCTTTTTTTGTAATATTATATTCTGTCTTTTTCCGCCTTTGCGCTCTGATTTCCGGTGTGACAATATATAGGTTCTGAACAGGGGGATTTGTAAGGAAGAAGATTTTGAAAAAAAAAATGAATTTATTTTTCTTTGTTTTTTTTTCGCTTTTGCGCTCTGACAACTTTGTGACAATATATATATATATCGTCAAACAGAGTTCTGCCCGGTAAACCGTAGACAGAGAGGGAGAAGAGGACAACAAACGAGGGAGGGGCTGTGACAAAGGGCTTGACGTCTGCGAGCATGTGATGCCTTCAACGCTCTTTGTAGATGCCGCCAGCCGTTCTCGCCTGTGTAAGAGTTTCATCTTCTCTGTTGTCGGGTGGGCTGGCAAGCGCGCGAGTGCATGCCTACGCACGTTCACACGGGCGCGAGTGGATTGCTGTGGTGAATGTGTTCTTTTCCTGAATCCTATTGTTTTGTCCTCCTCATGCTGTTCATAATTTCCTCTTGCGTGATTTTTTTGGGTATAACTTAACTGCGAGTTAAGGCCCTTCGTTTGCCAGTCGCTGGTTCTTCAGAAACTCTCTCTCTCTCTCTCTCTCTCTCTCTCGCCTGAAGTTTTGGGGGTAACTGCGGGTAAAACCTTCGCTTTTCAGTCGCTTTGATTTGACTGGAAGCATCCACCCAGGGAACAAGTGTAGGCTTATGGCCCCCGCTGCTTTTCTTCGCTGCGTGAATGATGATAAAAAAGGTGGTTTCGGCGGGGCGCTGGGGAGGGGGTGACCGTTCTTCTCCTATCACGAGGGCGATGAGAGTTCTTCCCCTATACACCCCTTTCCTAATGCCGATTCATTTGCGAGTGTGCTTGGTGCATGGTGATAAATAGATATGGTTGAACGACAGGGTTTTGACAGGTAGTCATTGCTGTCAAGTAGATATGCTTAGTGCCATTTACTTGGGTGGGCAAGGAGAGGGATGAATGGGTAGAGGACGAGATGCATGTGTAGGAGGTAGGTCCCGATTTCGAATGTGGTGGCGTGGGCTGAGGAAAAGGGGGGCTGACCGGGGGGATGAAAACGCGGAGCGGAAGGAGGGGGGGGGTTTGGAGGAGAAGGGGATGGAGCGGGAATGCGTGTTGAACCTGTTGTACCCAAATGACTTGTGTTCTTGTTTTGTGGTTGGTCTTCTGCTGATATTGCTCGTATGTCGTATGGAGGGGGTTTCTATGATGGGAAAGCAGTATGTCTAGAGACTTACTGAAAATGATCGCAGTGCAGTCGTGACTGTGTGTGAACTTTAGGGCCCAATGGCGGTGATCGTGCCGTGAGTGGGCACATGCTGGGGACCCGCGCACGGATTAGACCAAATTGTGCACTGACTGATATTACCGTATAGTATATATTGTAGTATATATGTGCCTTTTGGCTGCGTGCAAGTGGGTCTTTGTGACACACGGGGATGGGGGCAGCCAGCGCTCAACCTGTCGTCCACGTGGCTGGCCTTGTACGTAAGAGGTGACGAACAGGTGGGGCTTTCCTTCTTTTTCTTTTTCTTGTTTTGTCTTTTTCCGCCTTTGCGCTCCGATTTCCAATGTGACAATATATGTGACACTAGAGATTCATTACTTACGACGTGCTCATGGTATACATTCATAGAGTGTATATATGCAGTATATACTACGGCACATTAGAGATTGATCGTTGGTCGTTGACACCAATCCGCGATATCTCAGATGTCAAGATTTTGCACTATGAGTGATAATCCTTTTTTCAGTTAATTAAGTAATTCCAACGATTTAATGAAAAAAGTATGCTTCTCCATCTGCTATCTACTCAGAATGGATGTGCTTGTGTCTAGTTGTTGCTGTCAGTTTGATAAAGCCGGGATATCTGTGAACGTACCCAAGGAAGAGGAAGAGGCCGAACGACTCTCATCCATTCCTAGACCCATCCGACGACTCGGAGCAGAGAGTAACGTAACATCAAGGGGAGGTGGCCCCCCTGCGCCGGGGGGGGGGGGGGGGGGGGGGGGGGGGGGGGGGAGGGATATGGGCAGTTCTGGAGGTGGGAGAGATAATTGTGTGCGAGCATAGGAGAACACGTGGGCGACTAACGACTAGGTTTTTGGTGCACACCGTGACTGACGAGTACTCCATACCTCACGACGAATTGGGTCAGCCAGCGGATGAACTGAGAGCCGGAGGAAGGAGGCGCCGGAGGCTTTAAACGTCTTGCAATCGTATTGGTGGGGAGGAGCGGATGCGTGAATGGAATGCAGGAGAGCAGTGTTCTTTCAGTCGCGTTTCAGACGACTGCGAGACGACAAGAGCTTTTTTCTACTCCCGCAACGTCGGAGAGCAGAATGGGCACACAGAGGCTGTAATCATCATGACAGCAAAGGGAAGTTGTACTTGAGTTGATTCCAAAAATTCCAATTTGAATGACAGTTCAGACGGAGCATCGCGCTCGGAGTCGAAACGTTCGCCACTACTCGAGCGGAACTTTCCAGTGGTGGTTCCTTTGCCAGCCTTTCGTTGCTCTTGGCTGTGGCGTGCGGAGGAGGAGGAAGTGGAGTATGTCGAGAACTGTCATTCAAATTGGAATGTGCCCAGAAGGCAAGAGCTACGAAAGGCTGGCAAGGGAACCAGCACTGGAAATTTCCGCTTATGGGCGGAAAAAAGAAGTGTTTCGGCACTGGCACACAAGGCGGATGAACTGGGGTCAATGAATGTCCAAGCGAGGTCGTGCTATCTGGTGCGAAAATCGGAGAACAGGGGGGAGGGAGCGGTGGCCCTCCTCTCGCAGGAGCTTTTCTTTGAGACGCCACGAGTGACGGTCTTTGTTGTGCGTGCGACTCCACTTACTAGGGACGAAATTCAGTGAAGGAGAGGTGTGCATCAACCAGGCCTTTCGAATCCGGGACCAGTTCGGCGACGGGCGAAGAAGACAAGGCGGAAGAACCGCGTTTTGTGGATGGCGACGGAGAACCGGGGGAGGGAGCGATGGCGCTCTCGCGGGAGCTTTTCTTTGAGAGTCCACGAGTGACGCTCTTTGTTGTGCGCGCGACTCCGCTTTCTAGTGACGAAACTCACCGAAGGAAAGGTGTGCATCAACCAGGCCTTTCAAATCCGGGACCAGTTCGGCGACGGGCGAAGAAGACAAGGCGGAGGAACTGCATTTTGTGGATGGCGACGGAAGGTTTGAGGGGAGCGGAGCGGAGCTGGCTTCTTTGACTGGACGGCTCATGCACGTCTTTCACTCAGCTATCTCTGCTGCAAGATGTGTACTTTTTGAACCGATTCAACGAAGCGGCGGCGGAAGGTTTTGAGGGAAGGAGAGTTGGATTTTTTGACCACCAGATGACCCATGAATCCATGATGTACCTATTTCTCTTCGCGCTCTCTGGAAGATGTGTGCTTTCAACTCATTCAACGGAATCGGCTGATATGTGTGTGCATGATACGAGCAGGCGGGTGCTTTTCTTGGTGGACCTAATCTCTGCAGCTATTGCCGGTCGCAGGGCCAACAAATGTCAAGCAGTGCAGCTGATTGTTTCTTCTTCTGGACGGTATGCCTAGGAGGTAAATGCACACGGAGAGAAGGAGAGAGGTGATGAGGAGCAGCAACGAGTAAATGACGATCTTCGGACGTGACATTCCAGCGTGTGCGCGTGTCCAGCCGTCGACGGAATGTGCAAACCGTGTGGCATCTGCTTCTGTGATGTAAATGCGCAAGGAAGGGGGTTCTTACCTACCCGTCTTACGAAAGGAAGGGGGTTCTTAACTACCCGTGTTGCGAAAGGAAGGGGGTTCTTACCTACCCGTGTTGCGAAAGGAAGGGGGTTCTTACCTACCCGTGTTGCGAAAGGAAGGGGGTTCTTACCTATGGATCTGGTCGCGATTGCAGTAACATGCCGTCGTAAAGGGGGGTTCTTACCTATGGATCGGGTCGCGATTGCTGTAACATGCCGTCGTAAAGGTCCTGGCATTTCAAAGCCGGCGAGCCTGGTGGGTTAGTAGACCCGAGGGGAGAAGGTTGGCAGGAGGGTTCAAGGAGTCATTGCTCTTCCGGAGTGTGATGATAACGAAGGCTCGATTTCGCGTGTGATGATAACGAAGGCTCGATTTCGCGTGTGATGATAACGAAGGGTCGATTTCGCGGGGGAGGAGACCAAATAGGGTGGTGTTTTCGAAAGAGTGTGAGGTCGGTCGGCAGGCTAAGAGAGGAAAATGGAAAGGTCGGTCCCATCGGCGGCGGCGGGGGCGGCGGGGGCGGCGGGGGCGGCGGCGACGACGTCATCCCAATGCCGACGACGTGAATGCGAGCGGGTGAGGTTCATGCGAGGCCGGGGGTGGCGGCAGCGCAAGGCGAGTTGCGGCTTAGGTCCAAGACAAGTTAGACTTGGAGGTAAAGTATAAGCGAGGTAGTTGTGGTAAGGAGAGCCCCGGCAGAAGGCAGTCGGGTCGGTGCGGGATTCATTTGGTGGGGTCTTCGTCCACTAGAAAGATCACAGAAGCGACAGAACGCAACCCTTGCTCGTA